GACACGCCAATAAAATGTTAATTTAGTTGCCAGAGACACAACAACAATATTTGCAGCGGCAACTAAACAGAAATGCAAATAAACTAAACTCAAAAAAAAAGCCGGCCGCATAAATTAAAAAAAGTGACAAAAAATAACAACAAACTGAGGCGGTAAAACAAAACTAACAACAACAAAATAACAAAAATGCTAACGTTGAGGGGAGCGTGGAATGTTGAAAAAGCACGTGGGCGTGAAATGGAGAGCGAAACGAGCAATGAAACGAAATGGAATGGAACGAGAAGCTAATGGTGCTGCAATTACCGTTTCAGCAACAACAAGAGCAGCAGCAGCAGCAGCAAGCAAACCTGTTACAGTTCGGTTGCGTTTGCGTCTGCTTTGCCGCAGTTGCTGAGTCACCGCGCAGGCGTGCGGCGCTCTGCTAATTGCCAACGGCGACTGCGACGCGTGTGAGTGACACTAGCGATTAGCGTCTACGTCTACGTCGACGTCGACATCGCTGCGTTGAACCGTATAATTTGCATGAAGATATTGGCTTCAACTTTACTGTTGTTGCCGTTCGGGGGGTCGTTCACATTGCCGTAGGTTCTGATTTGTTTAGCGATCTTGCCCCCGCTGCCGCCTACGACTCTTGCAAGCTTTTGCACTTGTCAGCGAGTCGCGAAAATACGAGAATTATTTTTTGTATATATTTTTATTTTTTCTTTCGCAAGATAAAAAAAAAAATATAATTTGTTTGTTTGAACATTTTATTTGACATGTGGTGTAATTCGAAGCTGTCGAATTAATTGATTCACATTTTTTATTATTGCGCCTAATGCAAAAGCCAAATGGCTCACAGATTTAAGTGAATTTAATTTGCATTTTTATTGAACTTCAATTTAATGACCTGCGAATAGCAGCATTTGGCACAAATATAAAAAATGACAAAGCCAGCAAATGAAAGTCACAAGTAAGCGGATTGTACAATCTAATTATAATTAAATCGAGTGCTGCTTCTTATCAGCAACAGCAGCAGCCTTCAATTCAATTCGAATGTTATGTGTTCGCCATGCGTCAATATCAAGTAGCAAATCTTTATTTACTATACGCACACACACACTCACATATATATGTACACGCGTAGATATGCAAAAGTACGACGCCATTTTCTAAGCACACACACGCACACATAAAATATGCCAAGCATAGCGATTGGAGTTCAGATTCCGTAAAAGCGAATCTGCGATTGAAATTACAGTTATTAGGCATTCAAAAAGTGTACGGAATGCTTTTAGAGAAGCATTCTTTCGAGCTACAAATAAAAGGCAATCAATCCAGATACGAATGGAATGGAATATTTAAGCAAAAAGTAACACACTACAGAAGAACTTGGAATGCTATTGTCAAGAATACAGATACAAATGAAATGGAACGCAATACTTATGTGAACTTAACACATTAAAGAAGAAGCTAGAATCTTCAACAAAGAGACCCTAAGCAAGCAGAGCTGCTAAATTTATAGTGGACATTTTGATCACAATTTCAATATGAAAATGCGTTTTTGAAACACAGATTTGTTTCTTATTCGATTTTCATAAAATATTCACATTTCATCAATAATATGTCTAACTATGTCATATATCAATTGAAATTCTAAATCTTTGTATCGATATTCCCGAAAGGCGAACAGTTATCGAAATTTCTATCTTTATACACACACGCAGAGGCACATAGCTAACTCGAGGCGACTTTAGAAGTTGGTCAAAAATATGTGTACTTTATGAAAATAATTACAATATTACCAACAATGAGTTCAGGCTTTATATAAATAAATATTACATTTAAATGAGTATTAAAATGGAAAACCGAAACAAGAATACAAAATAAATATTAACTTTACCATTTGCCTCACTTGTAACTTCAAATGTAAGTCAAATTTCACGATCCGCTAGAATTTCAAAGAAAGCTTCACTTTCGAGAACAAAAAAAGAAAAACGCTTTTAGATTGCTTAGCTGCTGTTTGTAATTATTTCATTTTTTTCGATTACATTTTTATGGCCGATTCCAATGATAAAGACATCTTTTGAAACAGCAACAACATCATTTGAATAAGCGGAGAGGCTTTCTTTGGCTTTGCCACAGTTACATTTTGAATGGTGCCGCCTCCTCCTCTGCTGTGGCACTCATTTTCATCAATCAACGTGCCGTGCCGCATGAGAGCGTGAGAGCATGTCAGAATGGGAGAATGAGAGGCGGCCGGCCACAGCAAAATTTGTAAATCAACTTTAATTGAAATAAATTGTCATATCATTTGCCCTGGAAATGGAAATGAAAATGGACTCGTCGCCAGCAATTTACAACAAAATGAAAAAAAAAATAAAATTATTATGAAAAAAAAAAACAAAATGTTGAAAAATATGTGGGCTAGGCTGGTATCTGTTATCTGCGGGCCTCTTTCTGGCACTCGTACTGCTTGAGTGCTACTTAAAAATGCCCATAAATTAAAGCCATCAATCAAGCAAATTGGAAATATTGAAATATGCTCGCATTATGACAGAATTTCCATCATCCCACACATTAGATGAATTGATGAACTGTCTCAAATGAATTGGCCAAAAAGAAAACAAAATAAAGTAAAAGTCTAAGAGGCCGCAGCTGTTGTCCATAAGACAGGCCTGATTGAAATCTAACAATAGACACAAATGGCTAATTAAGTGAAAGTCTCTTTCGTTGAAGTTCATAAAATTTATATAGATATATATAGTACTAGTTGTAATGCAACAGCCACTAAAAACAAAACCGAATTGCATAAGCGGATATAGACATATATCATAAAAGTTAGTCATAAAACTACAACTACTACAACAACAACAACAACAGCTGCAGCAGCAGCAGCAGCGATGAGGTCGAGCGATATCAAAATCTGTTGAGCATACAACAAAAAAAGTGAACCAACTTTGCGGTTAACTGCGCACGCACAATGGAACCACCTACAACTAGCTCCTATATATATATAAGCGACTATACTATGCTATACTTTACGATACTATACTATACTATACTAACACCCTCTCCACTCTATTCATCTTTGCGCTCAGTTTTACAATAACAATTTACGGGCAGCGCAGGCAGTTTATGCAATTTATGTGTAATATTTCAATTGCGTCTCCGACAAACGGCAAACCGGAAGATTTCGTTTGATGAGACTCGTGTTTATATATAAATATATATATTTATTTGTACATTTTTTTAATGTATGTTTATAGTTTGTGCAACAACACATAACTTTATGTTACATGTGCAAAATGTTGTTGTTGTTGTTGTCGTTAAAAAACTTTTAGTTGCAATTAATTAGAATGACACTTGGAATATGTTGCTAACTGCTACATTTTGAACGATGACAAATTATGGTCAGATTATAGTTGAAATTATGAACTGTAATTAACAGAAGCGCTGTGCTGCAACAAGCATTAGGAAATAACTGAACAGCAACAAGAATTGATTATAAGCATAAACAAAAACAATAATATTGAAGCGTGTTATATGTTTATTTTATGATTATATCGTAGTAAAAGTTAATGCGTCTAGTCATTCCTAATAGCTATTAGCATACTTGAACAGCTTTTAGTATGGACTTGATAGAAGATAAAACTACTTTTGTGAGGAATGAATTCCAGTTGGGCGTTATAAACATATCTGTGACAGCATATGATTAACTAGGCCAACATCAACTTGTGGCGCTTCTTTTTATTCATGTCACCCGCTGGAGATCAAAGCCAATGTTCGCTTCATGGCTGACGTCACGCAAAACTGGCCAAGATGCTAATCTTTAGAAGCACACTTTAAATTCTGGTCGGCCGACTGACTTCCTTATCAATCAAAAATATATTTACATTTTACCCAAGCGATTTGCATTTGAATGAGCAACGTACCTGCAAAAAAAGAAGAAAAAAAAACAATTAGAAATAAATTAATAATATGAAAAAATTGTTGGCTCAAAATTTGCATAAAACACGCGTAACAAAAATTTTATGTATTTTTAAGCTCCGCGTTGCTTTTTTTTATCGTTAATGCTCTTAAATTACGTGGGAAAAATGTTGAAAGCGAGAAACGGGCGCCAAAAGTTGACACATGAATTTGTGTGTGGCCGGCTCAAATCGAATATCGGAGGAAGGGGCAGAATATGTGCGCTATAATACCCAAAATTGTGCACAAAGTGAGCCGAGTAAATAAATATGACAACAGACGGCGGTGGCTCGATTAAGTATCAACAACAAATTAAAAGCCGCAAGTCGACCCGCATTTGAAGCTATCAAATTACCGAAATAAACCCCGCATTCCCCCTCCCGCTCTAACACTCATCCACGAGACAGGGATCCAGACAGAGACGGCGACTGCTGAAGACTATGTAAACAATTTACGCGCATTGTCGAAAAAAATACAAGTAGAAGCAAAGTCAACAAGCAGAGCAAGAGCGGGGGCAAGGGGGGAAATAAGAGTTTTCGGCACACGTGTGAAAATAGCGCTTACACACACACACACATACGTGTACACACATATTTGTTGTTGGCTATGTAAATAGGTAAACAAATCGGAAAAGACACAGAAAGAGTGAGAGTCAGAGCAAGCACGACTAATAAGCGGCGACAACAATAACAACCACAACGCCCAAGAATTCGACATGAATTGAGAGTGAAAACAACGGTAGTTGGTAAAAATAGTAAAAGCTGTGCTTAGACAACAATTAAAGGCGATAGACAAAGTGAGAGAGAGAGGGAGAGGGAGACGGAGAGACAAACAAAAGCGAAACACGGCAGCACTAAAAACGCAAACAACGAATTGAGCTGTCCTCCGTTTGTCTTGTCCCAATATTTATAGTGAGCACTGTGCTCATGTTTGTTTGTTTATTTGTTGTTGTCGCTTGACCTGTGCCTTGACAGCGCCTCTGACGCCATAATGTCCACTCAAAACGTTTAGTTTTTAATGTGTGTGTGTGTTTTTTTTTTGTTGTTTCTTACCTGATAATACATTCCTTGCGGAGGAAGAAAATATGCCCCGGAGCCCCACAGTTTGACGGCTTTTTGTGTTTACAGTTGCGTCGCAAATTATATGCACAGCCGGCCCCGTTCAATTGTGTTTTATTTTATTTTAATTTAGGGCTAGTCCACAACTCCTCTAAATGGGGTTAGTCTCACTTGGCTTCTGGTTGCACTTGTTGTTGAGTGATAAAATTAACACTGAATTTGCAGACGTCGCATTTGATTTATTTTTGATTTGAATATTCATCAATTTTCCTTTTGATTTTTGATTAAATTCAGTATCATTTATTAATTTATTTTATTTTTTCTTTATTTTTTTGGCACAATTTATTATTTGGGTAAATTTCACTTGGATGTTTGTTGCAACTCACGATTCGTTTGAATAAATCTGCTAAGCGATGACAAATTTGAATTATTTAACGGTTTTGTTTCCAAAACAGAAAAACAAAATTTAAAGAAACAAAATATATAAATATTTTTACAGTGCTGGCTCTTAATTTAGAGATGATTTGAGATTTGCCAAAAAAATATATAAAAGTTTATATTTTTAAAAATTATCTAAGAACTTTCGCAAAAAAACACAAGATTGTTTAAATTTCCCAATCATATAGTCTACGAGGTAATCAAAATTTATTTGAACTTGAATTTGAAAAGTGCACAATAAAAAAAATCATTTAGTCGAATATATTTTCACAACTTTTATGATATGATGTTCTGCGCAGTTTTCTAAACGTATATTTTTTTGGGCGATTCGAATATTATTTTTGAGCCGTAATTTGAACGAATGAATATTTTGTAAAACTAATTTTGTTTTTGTTTAGGGGTTGTTCTCGCGTCCTGCCGCTGGCTGAGTCTGGTCTAAAAAGGATGTTGCATGGCGGCGGCTGCTGTGGCAAGCGAAACGAAACAAAACGAAACGAAACGAAAACAGAAAATGCGCAAAAAGACGAAGAATGAAAACACAGCGCAAACGCGAAACAAAAAGAGACCAGGCAAAATGTACGAGAGAGGGGAGAGTGCCGCGGCAAGGGGTGCGGGATGTGTTTCCAGTTGAATGAAATGATGTGTTTATAAAAAAGAAAAAACAACAACTAAAACTATTGAGTTTTTTGTTGTCACTGTGTGAACATTATTGTTGCTGTTGTTGCTGTTATTATTGGTTGCTTTATTTTGCGATAAGTCTTCGCGATGTTGTTGTTGTTGTTTCGTTTTCATTTTTTATTTTTGCTCTTTGCAACATATTCGAGTTGAAGGCGGCACCACAAAGGCAACGCTTTGTCTCTCAATTCGAATATTTGTGGCGCGTTGCTGCTGCTGCTGTTGTTGTTGTTGTCGTTGTTTTGGTTGCTTTGTAGCTTGGATGCACTTTTTGGTTACGCGATGGCAACGGCAACGACACATTCTTATTCTCTCTTTCTCTCTCTGTCTCACACACATCTGGCACACACATTTTTAGTTTTCGTTGATTGAATGGGAATATGTAAGAAAGACAAGACAAAATGCAAACACCGACAAAAGCAGCTGAGTGTCTGTCTGTGTGTGTTGATGCTGCTGCCGCAAGAGAGACAGAGAACGATGGAAAATCGAATCAGAAAAAGAGCGAATGGCAGTGAGAAAAGGATCAAAGGATAAACAAGCAGGCACAGCAGCAGCAGCAGTAGCAGCATCAGCAAAAAGTAACGAGCGAAAAATGTGCGCAAAATAAATTGCGAAGGAAGGAGACGAAGGAAAGGCGGCCAAAAACATGTGGCGCATTCAATGAATTTATACATATTTTTTTCTTCTATTTATTGTTGTTGTTGTATGAGCAATGATGCTGGCCTCGGTCGACTAACGAAGGGGAACAGGGGAATGGGGGGACAGACCGAACAGAACAGACAGGCACAAGAGAAATCACGTCCCTCGCGCCTGTGACGTTGCCGCTGCTGATGTGTGTGTCTGTGTGTGTGAGAGAGAGGAGCGAGATGGCATATACATATATATATGTATTTATTTTTAACTTTTCATTTCATTTTGTATCTGTGCGATTCCAATTTGTTGTGTGTGTTTTGTTGGTTGCACTGCACTCTGAATTCTAATTTGGAAACACTTGATTTCGATTTATTTCGTTTTGTTTTTGATTATGTTTGATTATTTAATTCAGCTGTTAGTTTTTCACTTGCGATGCGACTTGTTGAGAAGAGCGAGAAACGAACAATAATCACTCAATTGGTAGGGAAATACGCGCGCAACGCTTTAATTTACCGCAGCAACAATCGAAGACGTCCGCTCGCAACGAGAATTGAAATGCGAATGAGAGATGAAAGCGAAGAGAGCGAAACCGCAGAGGATGCGAGCACTGGTGAGCAGCAGGCAGAATGTTTTGTGCGTTGCGCAAAATGAGAGGCAGAGCATGTGTAAGAGCGAGAGAAGCGCAAACTTTAGATGTTTTGCAACACTGTTGATGTGTTAAAATTGTTTTGAATTGGCGGCCAATTCAAATTTCGAAATATGTTATATGTTTTGCTTGTAATCAGCGCTAAATTTGACAAATGCTTAAAAACATTATATTTTACTTGCTTAGAAAAGAAACACAAAAGTTCCACGCGATGCCCGTTAATACAGCGCGTGAATTTAAATCGACCACGAACTGTCTGCAGTCATGAACAGTGCTTTTACGTTAACAGCGCTGCTCTGTAACAGAGCTCTTATCGATAACACACTGACTGAGCGCGTCAACAATCGAATTTGAAATTATAAAAAATAAATAGTAAAATATGCGATTTTTAAAAATAAATTGTGGCAAACGGAATCAACAAATGTGAAATAAAAATACCGCTGAACGGTTGTAGCAAATTCTTCTATTTGTTGCTGCTTTTTCATGGCTTTCGCCCAAAAATGGAGAACAACAAGCAACGCGCTGGCAATTTCGTACGCATTCTTAATGTCATCAAAAAGTGAAGCCCCAACATACCCACACCCACCCACACACACCCACATAGCATGTTGTCAGGCGGCTCAACAAGCAACGTTGTGTGGCAAAAACACAGCTCTTCCTGCCTCCGTCACTTGGCACTTGGAAATCAGAAATCAGATTCTGAAGCGACATGCCTCATTTTCGGACAGACGCTGCCAGTCAAGATTGCATTAGCCGTATGTGAACATGCAGGCAAACAGGACCACGCAGGGACAAACAGCTGCTCGGGTCCGGGTACGTATCCGGGTCCAGGAGCCGTGCTAGGCTTATTAAACAGCGAGCGTGGATTTAAAATGCAAATAGCCCAACGAGTTCACATTGCTCCACGCAGCCCAAAAGTAGCAATTCCTGCACGGCCTGCATCCGAGCATATCCTGCAGAACATTCGAAAGTCACCAACACTCTCCCCACCCACACAATCAACCCCCATTTCCCTCGATTACAGCTGGAGCTGCCCCTTGTTTTGGCTGTTTTGCTTGCATAAATGCAAATCCCATGGAGACTGGTGTGGCAACTTTTTTTTAATCCTTGCTGGCCAGCAAATTGTCTCCAACAGAAAAAACAAGAACCCCAAACGATGAACAATGTGAAGAGTTTTGCCTCAGCTGCTGCTTAGCTAAGCGGATTCGGTTGCAGCTGATAAGTGTGGGGCAGATAGCACCATATAGCAACATAATCACAACTGAGCTGAGTTGGGGAAGCTGTATATAATATAATAACATTTAGCATAGCTCGCAAGTGCTCACTTCTAATAGGTAAGCGAAAGTCGAGAGAAAGTCGTAATAGATATATATATATATATAATAGATATATATATAACTCGGCAGAAGTTGTGCAATAAATTTCAGACTGCATCTAAATTTAATACGCAGAATGAATAAGCAACAACAACTTGATTTTCGATCAATTATTTCAACATTCATTTCGATTGTGTATATAATTGATATATAAGATTAAAAACTGCTTTATTATTATTATTAGGGAAGTTGCACCGCGACCTGTAGGATCTATTGTGCCCCCTTCTGAGCCTATAGCTCTTCCATCAGTCCCAGATCCCGTGTTGGGTTGAGATCTTCTATGTCTCTAGAATTCAAGACATGCAACCCTAGGATGCTACATCTTCTTCTAGCTAGTGCGACACATTCTGCTAGGATGTGTATCGAGGATGCCTCCTCTCTATCACAGAACCTCTCAGAGATCGCTACTATATATATACCTAGTCTAGTTAGGTGACTCTTAGTCGACAGTGTCCCGTCATTAGACCGGATTGTTCTTTCCCATGGTTATAACTTGCTTAAATCGCTTAAGATTGTAACCGCCTAGGAGACATCTGGCTTGCCGGAGGCCTACTGCCTCCGACCAGCTCTGCTGCCGCATCTGTTTCTCTTCATTTCTAAGTACCAGCCTACCTATGCCACAATACGGTTGTGGTTCTATCAGGGGCCTTTCTGACCCCATTCTCGCCTGCTTTAGAAGATCAAATATTGGCAATTCAGACTTAAACATTTATGCCATTTATCTAATCAGTCAATATGATTTAAAAGAAATAAGAAAAGAAAACAGTTTTTTATGCTTTAAAAAGTTGGATGGCCCAAGGACATAAGCATGCACCTAAAATGCCATATTTTTATCTGTTTCTCCTTTTGTGGTATCCTAAATATAAAACTATTTGTTAAATTTGTGGCAAATTCAATCTGTTTTTGCTTTCGCCTAAGATATCCGCAGCGAACCGCAGAAAACCTGAGAAAACTAACGCAGAGTTTTTGTAGTTCTTTTGCTGCTGCTGCTGCTGCCCCCGAAGGTGGCATACAGTTGATATATGGCGGCGGGATGGGGTTGATTGCGAGAGGGGTTGAGTGGAGTGAGAAGGGGAGGATGGGGGAGGGGGGGGGGGGGGTTGAGTGGCTAACAGACCGCAAACAATAACAAACGATGGCCAAGGCGAAACACAAACACTGAAACCGAAACAGCCTCCGCTGTCTGCTGCTGATGACGTCTACAAAATGGCCACAAAGACGCAGCACAAGCCGGTTGCCAGAGGTGGGTGCGCAGATAGATGGGGCAGGCAGCGTGGTGGGGGTTGGGGTCGTGCTATGCCATTTGGAGGCAAAAGGGATTTATGATGCTTGTTATCGCACAGCCGGAACGAGGCGACGCAACGCGAGGCAAACGATGACAAAAGGTGGCCAAAAGCAAAAACGGAATACAATTCTTGTACACGAATACAAAAGGGAGTCATGTGTGCGTGTGTGTGTGCATGTGTGTGTGTGTGTGTGTGTAACGGCTGCTCGGCAATGGCGC